TACTCAGCCATAAAGAATGAGAAACTAGAGACATTTATAGCTAAATGGATGCATATTGAGGCCATACTCTTAAGTGAAATAAATAGGACACACATGGGTAAATACCAAATAGTTTCTCTAGTGTGAGAAACTGAAACTGTAAATAAGAATTAAAAATGATTAAAATGAATAATTGATAATTTGAAATAGGAAAAGGTGATAAAATTCATATGTAATTTAAAGGACGGAGAGTAACAATCTTGAACAAACTTGATTGCCTCCATTAAATAGATCATCAATATTTATAATTCTATGTCCATTAAAACAATGTGGCACTGGCACCAAACTAGATCTCTCAGTTCCATTTAAGTATTAGCTTTCTTATGGAGTATTTCTGTCCTTCAGGACATTTTTTCAAAATTCTCCCGAAGCACCTTTTATGGTAGCACTTATAAAATAATTACATTAAAAACATTTACATGACCAGTTTCACTTTAGACTGTGAACTTTTCAGTGGTCATTCCAGCTAATAGTCCTCAAACCTAACACGGTCTCTGACATACATCAAATACTCAAAGAACTTGTAAATGATTAAATAGCACAAGAGAAGATGTTTTTTCAGTCAACAACATCCCAGATTGATAACTCTAACTTACCTCCTATGTCTGGACGAAGTTTATTGTCATAACCTTGAAGCAATGAGTTGAGAATTTGTGTAATATCTCCTTCATGAATTTTTGGTGCCAAGACCCATGTTTTGTTCACTGTTAAATCCTCATCATCTTCATCATCTATTTTATCGACACTAAATAATTCAAAGAAAATTTTGAATGACATAAAGTTAATCAAACTGTATATACAAAATAGTTTAAGATTAGTATAATTGCATAAGGGAGTAATAAGGGATGGAAAAAATTACAGAAATGTTACTGCCAGTAAGACCAGTGCTTTCATCCTATTAGCTATCTGGATATAATAATACTCAGAAATTAAGAATTTAGTGCAAGAAACATAATGTCAAAATAATAAACAGTATCATAATATATTAAAGATAATCTCATAATAATATAATATGTCATCTATATAATCATAATAATGATGGACTATCCATATAAATAGTGCCCCATTTGCACAACCTACATGGTGACCCCAGATTGTCACACTCAATAATAAAAATTACAAGGTAAAGAATTAGAGTACGAGTTATAATAGCCTATGAAAATATATGAAAATGTATGTGTATAAAAGAAGTAAGGAAAGGTACATGAAGTGCTATATAAGAAAAGAAAAGCATTGTACACACACATCCTGACTCCCCAGATGATATTTCTGGCCATGCCTCTGGAATTAACAAGGGTAAGATCGAGTTTCATTCTGAACTGTGGTAGAAACATGCAATAAGTTAGCTGTTTACAACAATAAATCAAAAGTAACAAAATTTTCTTTATTACATATAAATAATCTCATCCTAATTAGAGGAAATGAATTCCAGGTTTAGTAACACAGACAATTGCAATAAATCTCTAGTGCTCCAGTGGAAAAAGATCCAAAAGACACAACACTCACATTGGTAAATTTCTGATATGCTAGGTTATTTATATATATTTTAGAGACATGCTTTTCTCCAGTAGTAAACCTTACAATATCTTAAAATCTTTAGTTGATCTTTGTATACTTCCCTTCAGAATTCTTTTGCTTTGGACCTAAGCATCTTAGCAAATGCAGGTCCCTCTCCTCTCATGGGCATTACTATAGTTTGGATCTTAAGTGGCACCCAAAGGCTTATGTGTCTGAGACCTGATCCCCACCCTTTGGCACTACTGGGAGGTGACAGAACCTTGACAATTAAGGACCTAGTGGGAGGAAGTTAGGTCACTTGGGAATACCCTTGAAAGTGACTGTGCCACTCTGCTCTCTTCCTCTCCCTCTCCATTTGCTTCCAATCTGCCATGAAGTAAGCAGCTTGTCCGGCCACATGCTTTCCACCATGATGAGCGGCTTCATCCCGGCCTAAGAGCTACATGGTCAACTCATGACAGAGAGAAATCCCCAAAACTGTGAGACAAAATAAATATTTCCTCTCTATAAGCTCAGATCATTTTATAGTAACAGAAAGCTAACACAATTATTATAGCAAATTGAAACTCAATCTTAAGGAATTCCTTATTTTATATTCACAATAATTCCATGAATAGTAATTATCAACAGGTTATAGGGTGCACTATTTTTCTCAATGTCTGTCCTGTCCTTCCTGTCAAGAGATTATAATTCACACTGACTTCTAACTTGTTAATACTACTTTTGAAAGGATTACATACTTCTCTATCCTGTTGAATTAAGGTGTGGCCCTGTGATTAGTTTTGGCTTATGGAAAACTAGTGACATGTGTCCCTACCAAGGAGAAGACTTAATGTCATTGAAGTTTACCGCATTGTTTTTCCTCCCACAAGAGAAGCATCCATATTCGGAAGCTAATGAATTATTGTACTCCACTGATCAGAATGACATTGATGGAGCCAAAATGGAAACACAATGGACAAGAAGCCTGAGAGAAAAATAAACATTGAGGATTAGAGGTCACTGATGTTTGGGAGTAGTTCATTACCACAGCATAACTTGGTGTGTCTCTGGTAACAGCTTCTGTGTAGTTCTATTAATTTTCACTTACTGTTTGAGGAAACAAAATTTACAGATGTTAAATAACATGTGCCTCCATTCTGCTACTAAAAATATTACCAATTCCTCCCATTAATGGTATGTCAATTATATAGGCAGCCTTCATAAAATCTCAGCCAAAGCAATGTTAGCCCCCCCATGAAGGTATAATGTAAATACTTTGCATTTGTTACAAAATCTCAAGGCCTCTAGTCAGATGCTATTAGATTCCAAGACCTATGCTCCTTCCATTTTATTACATTCCATTACTTTACAGATGAGAAAGCAATCTGAGAAGTTAATTACCTTGATCAAGGTAACATTGCTAATACAGTAGACCTAGGGTTCTGAACCCTGCATTTCACAATGAAAACAACTTAATGCCATTTCCAGTGTGAGTGAAATTTACAAATGAACATAAAGGCTTTAATGCCCAACTTCTACAGATGAATTAGCTATTACAAAGTGTATAAAGCTCAACTTTGATCACACATGTAATTAACAGATTTTTCACTTGAGTATTCTATTGTAGTAATTGATGCATTTTATTTAACTGTGTAAATTGTATACTACTGAAATAATATATGACTTTCTTCAAATTTTCATATTATTTTTTCTCTAAGTTAAATAAATAAGTACATATATAGGTAAATCAAATATTGAAAATGCTGAAGTATTAAGAATCCCTGCAGGTGTGTGATCCTGGAAAGTTTTCTTACCTAGCTAAACTTTTTGGCACATTGGCAACAATACAAATTTAGGTATCTACTCAGCTCTTAATCCCAGCTTTAGAGAATGAAATATCTGTCAGATGGTTTGGTGGCAGGTTACTGCACATATAAAGCAGTTGTTTTGTTCTTGAGATATGATTGTAGTCAAATGGAATTTCCATGAGAAATAAAGCTTTTACTATTTTGTATTGTAAAAACATCTCAGTAAACAGAAAGCACAGGTTCATAGTGTTTTCTATTCTATTCTATTCACAGAGATAATATGAAAACTGACCTCAGTAATATAACAAAGTCATCTTTTCTCATTTTTGACAATAACAGAAAAGAAATTTTATTAGTTAATTTATTTATACCTTCTCTTTATGGTATTGAAATTATCTTCAGAGTATTAATTAATTACTTTCAATATTATATTGTTATTTGGGTGATTAAAAAGAGCTTAGAATTTTAAGAACATTACTATATCTCTGAAATTATAATTTCTTTCAGAGGAATGGAAGATGTTTATAACTTTTACACATATTCTGGTGAATATTCATTTAGGGGAAACAGCTAGGATTATCTTAACACTCTGAGACTTTTTGGACTTACATTATCTTAGGTACTTTCCTTGTTGTTGGGAGAAAATAGCTTATTTTGGCTTATGTTGTAGAAGTTTATGTCCTTGCATGGCCAGTGGAGAGTGTGGATGGAGGAAAGCTGATCACTTCATAGCAGACAGGCAGAGCAGAGAGCAAAACAAGGCACCCTGAAGGGAGATACAGCTACCAAAGTCACACCTCTGACCCACACCCCCAGTGACCTGCCACTTTGAAGCAGACCCCACCTTCTAACCACAAGTGAGCTGCACTCTCCCTTAATCCAATTACCTTTCAAACCCGCACATTTCAGCACATAAGGCTTTGAAAGAACATCCAGATATAAATAAATCATAACATATACTCAAGGACATTTTAAAAATAATTTACATTAGTATAATTTTAACCTCAATAGAAATACTCTTAGACTCTTGATTATATAATTTTACTAATTGTTTGTTATAATGATGAATGTCTTCAATATTATTTCTAGGAATTTTGCACTTACAATATACTGTGTTTCAGAAACTGTGTTTGGTTTCTATTACATATAGCATTTATTTTCATTTTAATCCCCATCCATATTAATCTCATGGAATAAACATTCATATACTTATTTTACAATTGAGAAAAAAAAGAATTTCCAGCATATGTTACTACAGTATTAAGTAATATAGCCAGGATTTAAAGAACGCTGGATTTACTTTGAAAACATGCTTTATCTTTCTTTGAAGTTTCCCTGGCATCATCTCATTGTACCTTTATCGAATAATCCAAGTGGTTGGATTTTGTATTTTATAATTCAAAAGAACACAGCAACATTTTGGTGCATTTGAATTGTGTATAGTGAGAATGCCTAGTCTTTAGCCTGTGTTCTGAGTCTATAAACTAATAATCTCAAAGAATCACACCTGGTCTGATGAAAAAAGTTTTTATTGTGCTCAGTTGCAAACACCATGTTTTGACTCATTTATGAAAGATTATGATGTATGGAAAATGTGTGAAGTGAAAGAAATGCAAAGACAAGTAACATTGTATTCTGGATCTGGATGACCATATTTTCCCATAAAGAACATACTATTCAAAGGATACAGAAAAATATAAACATGAATGCTTATCACAGCATTATAAGATGCGACAATTTTAAATAATAAATGTGTCACAATAAATAATGACAATCATATAATGGCATGTGAGGATTTGTTCAGGATGATGGTGAAGAGTCTACAAAAACATGAAATTATGTTCACAATTTCATATTATATGAAAATTGCATAAAACAACTTGGTTCTATTATTATTTATGTATAATATTTAGAAAACAGTATAATGTGTATATTTAATGTGCTATAAGATGTGAAATATAGAAAGTTTATTTTTTCCTGCATGATAATAGGATCCTGTAATTTCCTGTGCACATTTTATAATACTGCATTAATATGCAAAAAGCAGTTCATTTGACAGGAATGCCTACCTACAAATGAACCGTCTCTTCTTATATTCCAGAAACTTCTCAGCAATTAATTTCTAATCATAGAAGATAAATAATTAAGTACAGTCTTTTATGGAGAGAGGCAGAACATTATAACCTGTCAAGAAAATTTTCATGGCATCTCTGAAAATTTGCCTGGGAACATCAGTTGCCTGAGTGCAGCTGCCAGCACCACAGTTCTACATTGAATCTGTATAGACCCCCGCTGCCCCAGGCTGCTTTCAGGCAATAACTGAACATGCAGGTTGCATTAGTATAGATTCATTCCATGACTGCCTGGGTAAGGCCTCCACGGAAGGGCAACTTGCCTTGAAGGACTACTACTGGCCCTGCCAAAGCTTTCTGGAAAG